TTTAACCACAAATACATTTTTGCCATTTTCACATCTGCCACAGTGGGGATTTGCAAAGGCTGGGTCATACACATGATAACAAGGTATCGTCATGAAATGATCACAACAATGACTCTTTGATCAAACAGATCTCGTCGCTGGGACGTGTTAGAGAAGAATTTTGATCCTGTGCTTTAGGTCGTTTGCTCGTACTGGGAGCGAGGTCGTTCCTGCTGCCCGATTAACTCCGTAGTGGATCAACATCATAAAAAGACTGTGTAATTGCGGGACTTATATGGATCATAAATACCTGAGTAATGGGTGCCATTTTCATTTTAGCAGCAGGGAGCGTATGGACAGCGCCTACTGCAGCAGGACTGCTGCAGAGAAAGCAATAAACTCACTTGTTTTTTTTCCTCTGTCTGCTCGTCATTACTGAACACTAAAACACAGATATACATGCAGATAGCTCGGCTATCATAATAAGTGCCTGCGTCTGTGGCGGGACAAATCACGGCACCTTCTGGCTTTTGCAATTAATTGGGTTTACGGTCAATGATACCGCAAGATCATAACACAACTTCATGATGATCTTTTAACGCTGGACGTGTTCCCCTTTATGAATTAGTGTGTGTATTTGATTAGCACGGTATACGTGACTCCACAACTAAAATAATGACACTTGGCACAGCAAAGACATTTTGTGTTTGAGAAGGTAAAGAATTTGAGAAATGTCAAAAAATAACTTTTTTTAAAAACTTCTTTGAAGATACTCCATGTCACCTCTAACTCCTGCTCGTGGTCTGTGTGTGCCGCTCAGGAGGGGAGTTAATGAGAGTGTGAAATTAGTGCAGAATCATGGTGTGTTTTCCTTTTCGCCACAGGCCACAGCGGTGGGAGGCAGAGCCCTTCTGTCCTCTTCCTGTCATCTAGCCTTCCATCCGCTCCTCGGCCCTTTTCATCGCTGGTTCCTCTGTCCTTCCCCCGAGCGCTCTCTGTCAGCGTCCGACACTTCTGACTCTTTTCTCTGGACCGCGGACACTTACAGCGGAACCAACTCTGAGTACACCTTGTATGAGTTCGAGTGTCTGCACATCACCATGAGCACTTTTTAATAAGCTAATGCTGCGAGTGCATTCGGAGAGCACTGTGAGGGAGTAAAGCGTTCAATCTGGTACACCGACCAGGCTGATCTGAAGACCAGCACGATCATTCTAAAGTTCCTTTATGTTTTAACACACAAATGCACAGAAGGCGAATGAGTGAAATCCTGAATGAGACACGGGGAATCATTTGAAACTTTCAACCCAATCATCCCCGCAGGTCCCCAAAAAAATCTATTTGGAGTCAGAACTAGTAATTAGAAAGCAGCGAGATTAAAAACAGAATTAAATGGAATGGAAATCAGCCAAGCACAAGTACGATACTATTACATGAAGCCCTTCAGCAAGCAAGTTCAGGCCTTTGAGTCACCCATTTAAACTATTTTCAGAGATCTGGCCATCCTATCAATCACGATAACATCTGACTTACTAATTAACTGAGATATGGCAACACAGCAACTCTGCTTGACTTTAGGCTTTACCTGCACACACACACACACAAACGCACACACACACCTAAATATAGCAGACTATCTACAGGCATGGGCATGCTTGGTCATCCTGTGGACGGAGAACAGGGAGGGATTAGGGGCCTCCTGAAGCTTTCTAAAATGCCAACCTCGTCCAGAGCAAGGGGTGTAAATGCCACCCAAATGTCAGCAGGACACCCCCACAAGTCAAACCAAATTGGCTGCTGTATGCACAAACACTCTGCTGCCCCCATATTAGTGTGCGAGTCTTAAGAGACATACGCTCTGACGCGACAGGTTGGATTGCTGCACAATGGCGGCAGAACCAACTCAACCCAACACTACTCAGCTTACAACTCACATGGGGGGAGAATGTTTCGTCAACCTTGAGGTCATATGGTCCACTTTGCCACCACACACACCGACAAAATACACACACAACTCACACGTAAGGTTTTAGCGGCCTTAGACACAAATACTGTTATTTAAAGCCAAATACACATTGATTGCAATTGCTTTAGAATATATGGACAGAGAGGCAAACATTAGCGATAAGTAGATTAGAAGAAGCCCCTCCACACCAGCCTGTTTCTGGCATTTGGCCAGGGCTAAGGTTGAAGTGGCAGCAGGCTAACCGAGGTGAGGCAGATGTCCTCCTCCCCAGCCACCTCCTCCGGCTCCTCCTGGGGGAGCCCGAGGCCGTCCAAGACCAGGTGGGAAAGATAATCCCTCCCAACATATTCTGGATCACAAATGCAGATATGCAATTCTGATCACTGTTCACTCTCCAGCTGCTTCTGGGCAGTCTGTCCGAACAGAGTAGGTAACAAACCTACAGCCTTGGTTGAGCCCCGGTGGCAGAACGCACACGATATGTTGCCGAGAATACAGATACAGCTCACGGGAATGGAGCTGGCACCCTATATGTTAACTACTACGATCACGGGTATGCAGTTGGTGCTGCTCCTAATTACAAGCCAACCACATGCAGCAGCATCTGAACCATGAATGGAGTACTTGATACAGTCCGACATGAAATGAAATGGTAATTCCCACAAGGAAATGAGGTTATGCTGCAACAGAATGTGATGTGCAGTAAGGCGAAAGATAAAAATGCAATCGCACAAGCAGAATGAAATACGAAGGTTAGCCTTACATTTACCTTTGACTGAATGTCAAACATCAAAGTAAGGTTAGATTAGTATAGAAGCCCGTTAGGTGATTCGATTGGTCATTACATGGCCATCAACATGGCAACACAATATCACACTGAAATCGTACCTGACTCAGTAGCCCCTGGAAGTTAAACATCATCATAATAACATTTCAGAGGGTGGAAACGCAGATGTCGGGGTTCTTTGGAAACCAGATATGAATAAAGATTGTTCAAACAGACACACAAGAACAATATAAAGTACACCTGGCTTAGGAGGAGAGAACAGTCAAACATTAAGACCCTGTTCTCTCCTATGCCCACACACGCCACTGATTTCCTGTGCTGCTTCCGTCATTAAGGCCGCCATGAGTTGCATGGCTGGCTGCAGGAGGTGTAGTGATCCATCAGCGGAGTGCCAGAGCTTTGCCATTAGAAAACCATCTGCAAGAAACAGCGCTCCATTGGCACTGCAAGTCTGGAGAGGGCAAGTCACACACACACAGAGAGAGAGACAGAGAGAGAGACACAGAGAGAGAGAGAGAGAGACAGAGACAGAGAGACAGAGACAGAGACAGAGAGACAGAGAGAGAGCGACAGAGAGAGACCTGTGTGCGAGGCAGTTTGCTGTGATTGATATGAACCATTACAGACAACATGGAAGAGGTAGGCAGAAAGCTAGTCACCGTTGTATTTTTGGTCATTTGTTCAGACAAAAGCTTGGCCAGACCCACAGTGGACAGGGTGTGTGTCTCAGAGAGAGAATGAAAGTGGGAGAGAGAGGGAGGGGCTGGGAGAAAGATGTGGGAGCCAAATCTGATTGGTTTGTTGAACCACATGTTTTCTGATGCAGGCAGCCCACAGAACACAGACTGGGTTGTCTTATTTTAGACACTCCAGATACCCAAAATGTGCGTGCACAAAAAGGGAGTTTTCATCATATGTACCAACATTGACAGTCCGTACTCTCTCTTAAACCAGTATGTTGCTGTCAGAAAGCATCAATCAAAGAAAAGGTAACAGCTGACAGTACAGCTTAGGTTAGTGGTGATGTGATGAAGAGCAGTCTAGCTTCACTAAATCAACCGGCTGATTCTCTGCGATTCCACATTGTTTAGCAGCCAGTCCAACGTTTAGTGGTCAGGGTGTATGTATCATTGATTTGCCAGTAAACCTGAACACATTCCAAGCAAACATCCGTCTGTATTGGCTGTTCTTTTCAAAGTGTGTCGGTATTCACCGAGTACGACGTTCAACTTCAAAGAGCCAAAACAGTGGAGCCCAGATGGCCCGTGTGAAGCTATATCTCTCCGCTGGCGAGTGTTCAAGATACTTCTATCGTCAAAACATTGGAACATTCATATTTAGTGGCTAAAGGAACGCTTATCCTGCCTCGGCATTAAAACTATGCACCGGGATGTTAAGATTGTGGAAATGTAAGCCAAGCACCAGTGTGGAAGTAGGAAACGTCTTTAATGGATCCTAGAAGGTAATGTATCACTGCATGGAGGCCAATTCAATTAAATTGCCTCCCTATTAGATTTACACAACTCGCCTGGGACCACAGCGCTGTATAGAAAACTACCAGACGTACAGAAAATTACCACAAAGACATCCCTTCACAATACTCACATTTAATGGGAAATAAAAGCGAGGATGGAAGTCGATCTGTATTCCTGGACGCTATCAAACCAAACATTGGGAACCGAAGGAACAGTATATTACATCATGTTTGATTTACGAAATTCCACTAAATGTTCAAAAGGTTGAAATCAATAAATGGTCACTAAGAGGCCCTGTAATGTAATTAGTTTGATATTCTACTGGTATTGAGTCACGTCCCAGCCTTCATATGTCTTGAGTGACTTGGTCATAGCTCTCTGACGGACCAGTATGATGCTAGTGCCACTTTCACACACATCTCGTAAAGTTAATGGAATCCTGACCTAATTGTTCCAGTCAAAAAAGTTTGGTCATTCTTTAACTTTATTTTAATCTGATCTGATTAGGTTTAGCAGTAGTGTCCTACATCACAATCTCCTGAAGTTACAATCATAACATCATCGATCGCTTTGAAGAATTGGAAATCTATTCCTACTTCTCCTGTAGAATGAACAGTAACGCCTTGTTTGAAAGGAGTATGAGTACACCTTCTCAGCACTTACTCACACAGCAGGTGGTGTCTCATTATAGACTTGCTGATCACATTCCCAATAAAACTACAAACACGTGTTCCAAGTGTACATCCCAATCAATTCCCGGCTAGATGTTTTGGCGTGTTGCTCGGCGCCGTACCTGAGAAGCGGCTGGAAGATGACGGTGATGTTCCTCGCTCCCGGTTTGCACACAAACTTCATTTCTCCCCCTTCAATCAGGTTGTCATCAGCACCGCCTAGAACAGAGGAGACAGGACTTGACCAAATGTGACAGAATAGACATCTCAACATGCGGTGTGTACAATGTAAACGTGTGAATCATATGTAGGACGACATTTACATGACTAGAGGAGGATCTGAAGATGTGCTTTCGAAAACAGCCCACCCGAAACTCAGCAGTCATCACCATGCTGAGTCCTTTAACAAGACACCAGATCCCAACCAACCCCAAGAGTGCTGACCCTGAACTGTGATCTCCCTGAATGGGGAATGTAACAATTATCTTCCCTCCATTAATCAATGGAATCTTAATACATCTTAAATTATTCTGAGACATTCTCAAGTATTTCAATGTTCAAATCGGTACAGGCGTACGACTTCATCCCCAATAAATCCATCACTCAATCAGTGCGGCTCTCCATCACAAACCCAAACGTGTCCCGCATGCTCGCACTCCTCCACGCCCCTGCGTCACTGCGTGGGTGAAGCCCACAGCTAACGGGGTTAATCAGAAAATCATTGCCATGTAACGTGCTCACAGAGGAATGGGGGGGGGGGGGGGCGGAGGCTGAGGGGGGGGGGGGGCAGAGAGGGGGGGAGATCAAGGGGGGGGGAGAGAGAGAGAGAGAGAGAGAGAGAGAGAGAGAGAGAGAGAGAGAGAGAGAGAGAGAGAGAGAGAGAAAACACCGAAGCTCATTACCTCCACTCATCCTGAAGTAATCAATAGACCTGATGGAGAAGAAATTGCGCTTCGTTGTCAATACAGGTAACTGCAAAGCAAAAAGGATTGTGTGTGTGTGTGTGTGTGTGTGTGAACTATGCATGACTGCACACGCTGATGTTTCTGTATTGTCCGTTGATTGAGAAAAGGAGAAGGAGAGCAGCATTCCTGCCTTTATGCAGTAGAGGAAATGTTTTAAATTACAATTTCTGGATTTAGGTTGATGGTGAAGTCCCACGGCACTCGGTAACAATACATCCATGAGGCCGGAAAAAACAGACAATGCAATAAATAACCATCGAGATTCAAAAACCTCGGGAGTCGGATACATTCCCAATTGAGCTCCGTGTGTGTGTGTGTGTGTGTGAGTGTGTGAGGAAACCTTTTGGAAAAAGTTTGCCGACAAGATTTAAGTCTCTGTAAGAATAATACCATCAACTTGCTGACTGCACTTTCCTGTGGAGCGAGTGTGTTCAATCGAAATGAGGAGAGCAGTGGTGTCGAGTGAACAGAGTAAGTTAAGTGGGGGAAAAAAAAAACTGGACCGAAATCAAAGGAGACGGCGATCCAAGCTACTTCGATCGGGTTTTGAAATAGGTATGGCTGTGTGTGTGTGTGTGTGTGTGTGTGTGTGTGTGTGTGTGTTCGTTCAGGAATGGGGAGACTTCAGCTTGACACAAAGCCCTGCTCGGCTGTTTGCTTCCGTTTTATTTCCATGTCCAATGCGACCTCGCAAAGCTCGTGTGATATAACACAAAGGCTCTTCGCCTAGCGTGCGAAAGCCTTTCCCGCATTAACCTGCGCTGCCAGCCCAGCCCTGCATTCAAATGCATATCGACCCATTGTTCCCTGCGCCGGGCTCCGTAGTACATTTCTAATGGAACAAGTTTCTTTTGAGAAGTATGGGACACAGCACTCTCCGTATTTTTTTTTTATTAAAATGACAAGGGAAGCTTTCAATCTATCCCAAAAACGTTCAAATCAAGGGTTTTGTGATTCTGATCTGTTGCCTGCACGGTTAGTCCACCTTCACGCTGCTCAGTGGAGACGGAGATGAGGCCCAATTCACTCAAACTCTCTTTCTCCGGATCTCCATCCATTCATCCTTCCTTTGGTGCCAATTCAATTAAGACTCAATTACGGGCTCCTAAACAAAGCTGCCGCCAAACGCATTCTCCCCTGCTCATCCTCCCTCTCTCTCCCTCACGTTCTCCATCTCTCTATCGCTAACCAACGTGGAAAGAGCGCGCAAAACTTTTGTTTTCTCGTCTTCAACCTGCAAGTTCCCATGAATAACATCAACATGTCACAGACTCTGGGGAAGTTAGCGTTACCCGTCTGCTCCAGGAACCACGTCTAACTGGCAACTACAAACAAACACACACACACACACAATTGACTTCCATGTATGTATTCCCGATGGCGGTGACCAATTTAATTTCATGCTCTAAACATCTGCATCCGTGTCAGACAAAGGAGCGAGGAAGAGGCCCCATTGATCCGTGGGGTCTGGGACCAGCTGCCAACAGGGCATAGCACTGATGAATATTAAATAGGCCAGCATTAATATGCATGGGATTCTTCGGAGTTGTCTAGACATGACAGGGTGGCTCCGGTTTCAGGTCAGGATGCCACCAAACCGCTGCCAGCCGCCTCTCCAAATAATGTGTAAAAGTGCCATTTTAGTTTGCGAGAGCTTGTGCTTTTGCACACGTGTGCGCGAGTATTGGTTAGTGCTCTTTGGAGGAGTGTATGTGCGTGTGTGTGTGTGTGTGTGTGTGGGGTCTGATCCAGGATTAGTGGGAGGGGTGTGCGGAGGTGTGGTGCTCAGTGGGACGGCAACTGAAAGCTGGAAAGGAAGAAGCGACACATTCTAATGTGGCCAAATCTGCCTGAAATCCCCCTCGAGGACCACCGCACCGGCTGCAACACACTCACCTCGGCAGATAAAAACACCCATGGACTTAAGGGGTACAGACTGAGAGCTACAGATATGTATACATGTACGGCCCAATGGCTTTAAACACACACACAGAGAGAGAGAGAGAGCCTAAAACAAATGGATCAACCCAAAATACACAGATGCCATACGCTGACGCTGACACACACACACACACACACACACACACACACACACACACACACACACACACACACACACACACACACACACACACACACACACACACACACACACACACACACACACACACACACACACACACAGCCCCCTGTGGTGCCGTAGCATGGGCTCCCCAGCCCACATGTAATCAAGTCGGGCAGTGACTTAGTGAAATTGCATTTGCTACACTTTCATGGGTTTGATGAGAAACTGGTTTGATCCTGAGATGAATTCCGGCCCTGCCCAGATTTAGGCGGGGGAACGAGCGAACGTGCGATGCCTTCTATAACACACTCCAGCGTCTCCTAGGACCGGAGTGTTTCTGTATGCATCTGAGAGTGTGTCAGAGAGAGAGCGAGAGGAGGAAATCCGGACAGGCATAATCCCTAATTTACAAGTGGTTTGAATATCTTTCAGTGTCCGCAATCCAAATGTGTGCGCCTGTATGGAGAAAGGAACAGAAGTCCAAAGACTTACGTGTATACATGTAATACCACATATAGAGCAACAGAGGATAATCAAATGATAAATAGGTTCAATGTGCAATGATCACTTGACTTTTTGTTATTTTTTCTATTGTTTTTAAAGAGGTATATCTTAAGTTTGCTTGCTATTATCATCTCTCCATAAAAATGTGTTATGACAAAATTCTCAAGTTCAGTTAAGCAGAAAAGAAGATGGTATGAACAGTTTCTACCATCTATATTTGCTAATATCTATCTCATATATATATATATATATATATAAAAAATATAAAATATAAAAATCCTAAATGTATATAAACTGAGTTTATTCATATGTCTTAATACAATAGGTTTCGCCATGCATGCAGTTGAACCCACTTGTAATCTCGCATGTATGGCCAGCGTCCTGATCTGGGTTTGTGTTCATGTCAACCGAAGACCATCAAAGACGCTCCAGCTGGTCTCTGATTGGGACCGGCGGGAGGGCAGCTGATTGGTGGAGTTGAGGCGCAATCATGTCCACACACTCACACGACGTAGGCTCGCTAAGGTGAAAACAACTTGCTGTGCTGGTCAAGAAAGCATGAGCAGAATGAAACATCAAAATACAGAGTTTAAATTTGATGGGTGGGATGCTACAACATCTGCACCTCTCCACACTATGCGCAGTAATTGAAGAAAGTAGAGGCAGTGCTCTTCCTTTGATTGAGGCGTCTAATCTGTGCCGTTAGCCAGCACTGCACATTTCATGCTGAACTGTGCAAACAGAAAGCAACATATATAATAATCGAATTTTCAACTCCAATGGCCTCATTTGTCCGGCGTCGTTACGCTAGAAAAATTAGTTTGGGAATGATCAATTCAGGTAATATCCTTCGTGTACAATTCAGATATATTTAAGCGCGCGCGCACGCACAGTCGGCTGCATATTCACTGAGATGAAACCTGCCGATCTAATAAGAACGATTTCCGTGTCAATAATGTATGACACTCTGGTCAATTCCGGGCATCCCATTCCAGTCAGACCGTCTCCATGTCTGATCGGGTCTTAATGAGAGCCTTCTATTATTAAAATTAATTTGATGGGACGGTGTCTGCTGCACCGCCAACCAGGGGACCGAATCCGTTCCTTAGTCGAGAATAAACGTTCTAAATAAATAATAGCATAAATAAATTCAGGTGTGAATTGAGTTGGATTAATTATTAAAAGCCTCACTGTGGCACACAATGTGTCTCCGTGGTCTTGGGTTTAATGGATGCACATGTCTCAGTGGTGGTATGACAATAATGCACTCCGGTAGCAGAATGTCTCTTTTGAAACACGAGGAAGACTCATCCTGTCAAGTCACGGGACATTTTCTACTAATCACCCCGCTCACTCTAATCATGAAGGGTTCAAAAGCACTCTTTTCTTTTCCGCCAGGGTCTCTTGAATCTGTCAACCACAACAAAGAGTTGCGTCGGAGTGATCGAGTACATGCACGCGAGTGTGCATGCGAGTGGATAAAGACCAGGAGAACTAAGTGTCATCACATCTTTGATTGGACCCAGCGGGTAACCAGGCAGCACATTGCACACCCTTTTCTTTACCCGCAAGAACCTGTTGCATGCTGGGAAAGCAAGGAGGTGGGTGTTTATCTGTCTGGCTCCCAGTGAAGCTGCCACTGTGCAGGTGCCAGCCTCGTGTCCCACATGCCCTTCTTCCATCCT